AAAAATAGAGCCAAAAATAGGGTGAGAGGAAGTACAAAGAGAGGATTGAGGGTTTGGTATTTTTGGGGGTTTGGGTCTACAACAAGGGTAACATGAGAGAGGGTAGCTTAACAATGGCGGAGATCAGACAAAGACAAGGAAGAGATACATATGAGGAAAATGCTATGGTGGTGGGTAATACAGTAATGATAAGGAAAAGGGGCAAACAGAGAATGGGGAAGAAGATAGAAGGACGGTGAGGTATAATCCTCACAAGACACTTACCGATGGGAGCCACCGCTTCGGGAAAGCAAACGTCGTTTTGGAAAGAAACCTGGGGAGGCCTTGGGTGAAGTGATACATACGGATATAGCGTAGAAAGGAAAGGTGTGGACTATTCTAGTCTAGGAGAAGTGTATAGAGATTAGAAAGGTTGAGAAACATGAAAAAGGGGGAAGTAGTGTTGAGAAGACGAAGAGATCTGCCTCGGGAAAAGAGGAATGAGAATAAAATCTCAGAAAAAACCCTAACCCAGGGAGAGAGCTCTCATACCGAGAGAGTATAAAAAATTTAGTTAGTTTTATATAATCCAATTGGTCCTGTTTGGTTTCTTTTCAATACTTCCTGAATCTCTTGTTTCGATCTCACCTGCCTACCATTTCTTGGCTTCTGTTATTAGCATTGGCGATGAAAGTAATTCAATGATTTGCATATGCTTGGTCAATATCTCTCTCGAGCGTCTCGTCTTTGCTTTATTTGTATGAATAGAGGGTTGCTTTGTGAACATCGTAAAACCCTGATCNTCGACTTTAAATAAACTCGAGCAACTCAAGAACTAGAAAATAAAATACAATATCAGCACAGATGGAAAAGGATAGAGTCAAGGCCATGACTTCAAAATTCACCATATCCCAGTTGAAGTCTGTTTTATGTCAACGGAAATTTTTGTGTTGGCAATCTGGCATGTAAAATCTCATTATTCTGAACAGCTCCAAAGGATTAGCTTCTATTTCTATAAAATATGAAGGATAGAACTGTGAAGACACCTTGTATCGCACAAGATTAAGACCACCCAAGGTTGGTTTATAGAGTTGAGAGGCCTCTCCACTCTTTGCCAATTGGTTTAGTGTTGCGTGCTCTAATATGGTATCGGAGCTAATTCTTGGGTGGTGAGTGGATTAAGTCTATTATCCATTTGTTGCATGTTTATCAGTATATTTGTTAGCCCACGTGCAAGCCTGAGTACCACATAATGGAGGAAGTAAAGAAACCTTACATCCCATGTCCAACGATTACAGCCACCCAAGGCTGGGGGAAGTTGTAAATAAACTCATATATATAAGCATGCATTTATGTTGCATATTTTTCTTGCTCATGTGTAGTGTCCTACTAGAGATGTTTTAACATTTTGTAGGTAAACCATGTCTCTGGATCAACACTGAAAAATGCCAGTACATTTTTTTTCATTTCTAAACCATCAAGGATAAATTCTTAATAATAACTCTTGTTCTTTCATGTCTGACGCCTCATACAAACTCAGAGAAACACGTGCCTACAACCAGACAGATACTTCAACTGAGAAACCTCTTAAGGATGCTTATCGCTTCTCTCTCTCTTTCTGTGTTGAGGCAATTATATATTGTTTTTGACAATTCACAGGGATTCTGGAAATAGATATTAAATCCTATACATGGTAACTGAGATTTTGATTTTGAAAATTGTAACCTCTTTTCTCTATTCGATAGCCAATACAGAAATAGAAATGGTTCCCCAGCCCAATGGTTTTGTTTTTGACGCAGAAAGCATAAAATCCTAAAAAGAAGGAATTTAATAAAAAGAGAAATTAAAAATATAATTCAATCTCTAACTCGGACAACAAAAGAGCTCATGTTTAAAGTTGTTTTGTTGTATTATGTTTTAGCAAGCTATCATTACTACACTTAGGCCAGAATTATAGTTTAGTATACATACCTTACATGTTGGGGACATTTTTGAACTGCCTTCAGGCAGTAGAGTGCCATTTCAAGCTTCTGTATTTTGGACCTATAATGTAATTCAATTGGATTTGATGGTTTAGTAGGTCTAGAAAAGTGCTTCAAGCGTTTGTTGTCTCGTGGGTGTACAGCTTTTGGTTTCTTTTTTTTTTCCTTATATTTTTGGCGGGTGGAGGTGGAGGGACATAAGATCATCCTACATCCTACACAAACTCCACTTATAGAAAGAAAAGTTATTAAAATATACAAACCAATTTCCATGATGTAAAGAATTCAGGTTAAAGTCAGGCAACTAAGAGCACAGTCAATTGATTAAAAGACTGAGGGAGAGAAAGANCGTGCCTACAACCAGACAGATACTTCAACTGAGAAACCTCTTAAGGATGCTTATCGCTTCTCTCTCTCTTTCTGTGTTGAGGCAATTATATATTGTTTTTGACAATTCACAGGGATTCTGGAAATAGATATTAAATCCTATACATGGTAACTGAGATTTTGATTTTGAAAATTGTAACCTCTTTTCTCTATTCGATAGCCAATACAGAAATAGAAATGGTTCCCCAGCCCAATGGTTTTGTTTTTGACGCAGAAAGCATAAAATCCTAAAAAGAAGGAATTTAATAAAAAGAGAAATTAAAAATATAATTCAATCTCTAACTCGGACAACAAAAGAGCTCATGTTTAAAGTTGTTTTGTTGTATTATGTTTTAGCAAGCTATCATTACTACACTTAGGCCAGAATTATAGTTTAGTATACATACCTTACATGTTGGGGACATTTTTGAACTGCCTTCAGGCAGTAGAGTGCCATTTCAAGCTTCTGTATTTTGGACCTATAATGTAATTCAATTGGATTTGATGGTTTAGTAGGTCTAGAAAAGTGCTTCAAGCGTTTGTTGTCTTGTGGGTGTACAGCTTTTGGTTTCTTTTTTTTTTTCCTTATATTTTTGGCGGGTGGAGGTGGAGGGACATAAGATCATCCAACATCCTACACAAACTCCACTTATAGAAAGAAAAGTTATTAAAATATACAAATCAATTTCCATGATGTAAAGAATTCAGGTAAAAGTCAGGCAACTAAGAGCACAGTCAATTGATTAAAAGACTGAGGGAGAGAAAGAGAGCTCAGGTTTGCCGGTGGTCTTTTATTAATGACTCTGCACATCTCTAGAGTTCTTGTTTGGGAAAAAAAATGAAGAAGTCATGAATGAGAAATGGGATACAAGAAATTCATGAGAAGTTCTGGGCGCATGGAGTTTATCAATCCGTGTTTATGCAAAACATCCTCCAGAGTAATCATCCCAAACAAAAAAGAGTTAAATCCCAAACAAAAAGAGTGAATGCTAGCAAAGATGTTTCCAAAACTAGTCTCGATTTTTACAAGAGCATCACCAGAAAAGAGAGAACATGCTCCCGTAGGAGAAGACTTTGTGCTATGGGAAATGAGTTGTTGGCAGTATTGATGCCCTTGGACATGGAGATGAAAGGAGTGATGCTCTTTGCGAGTTACGTGCTATGCCATGTGTTCTGAACAAAATTTGCACTGGAGAATAGGAGCTTGTCGGGATTTTGAGCAAAATTGAGGTGGTGCTGAAAATTTGGAGATTTTGAGATCATAGGTTGAGAAGGTTGGCCATATACAGCAAGAGAGAACAGAAACATCGACAGAAGCAACGGAGGTGTGAAGACTAAAGAGATTTCAGGGACATTGGTGAGCAGAAATTGATAATTATAATCCACCTAAGGATCAAACCAGTTTAGTTTAGCTATGGCCACTTTCATTTCCTCATTTAAGACCGATAGAACCAGGTTATCGATTGGTTCAAGTTGGTCTTTTTAATTTCCTCTGCATCGGTTGCTTACAAATACAACTAACCAGAAGGAGGGTGATAACACAGCAGTTTTACTTNTTATTTCCCCTGCATTGGTTGCTTACAAATACAACTAACCAGAAGGAGGGTGATAACACAGCAGTTTTACTTCTGGGATCCTAATCGGTGTGTATTTACACAAAATGAAATTGCTAAATTACAGATTAGTTCTGGAACAGTACAAATGGCAGCACCTCTGTCAGCGGCAGGCCTAGGCTGGGAAGGCCAAGATGGTATGTTGGACAAGTAGCTCTTTACAACTGAGCGTCCATAACAGGGTAGGCTTAAAGTTTCCTTTACAAAGTTGGGGGAAGATAAACATGGATTTAGGGGGCCCTGTAGATATCCCTTCACAAGGAGGACTCTGACATATGCCAGAATAGTGAAAAATATTTAGACTCCTTATAACATCAAGGACCTGATTGGATGGGACTGCCAACCAAAGACAGTTTGTAGCCTGATAATGATATGTGGGGTGCTGGGGCTTGGTATATGTGCCGAGTGAAGGTTGTCAAGTAGCAGTATCCCTTATTTTGTCTAACATATATCTTAAAGGCGCTGAGGAAGGTACGTGCTGGGACCCAAGCATACGCAATGCAACCTCGTCCAATGCTTGGAACAGGATAGTGGATTTGATATACCATGTACTAAACCCTCCCCATGCAGTTTTTTTTTTCTCCAGTTTTACAGGTGCAATTGTATTGAGCTCTCTAGCAGTGTGACAGCTGCCAATTTGTGTCATGAAAACCCACTAGGGAAAACTGTCCTTTTAAGATGATGCTTAGAAGAAGACATCAAAAAAAGTGGTCTATAATACGAATACTCAACGCATGATGTCAGCAGAGAAGAAATTGGAGATACTATTCTAAGTTCTTAACTTCTCACAAATGCCTGTTTCACACAAAATGTAATAAGCAAAACACATGGTACTTATGCTCCAGCCTGAGTAACAAGCTGGACACTGATGTTCATGCTGCAACTTAAGGGCCAGTTTCTTGTTGTGCAGATTTTTTCAAATATGTATGTGTAAACTAATTTCATTTTCTCTAATTATTTTAAAAGCTAAAAAGGTAGACCATTATTGTTCAGTCTCGTTTTTCTTCTTAACTTGCCAAGCTCCAAATAGTACCAAAACACATTCTTACTGTGGAGATCATCACATATGTGCAACACTTATAGAATTCAAGAACCATTCAGTTAGACTTACCAAATTCAGAAGTAGCAAAACTGTTATTAGATAGAAGCTGACAAAGTAGGCATAAGTCCAATAAGTTCTTGTCAATACCTGGTAGCTCTGAAATTTGAAACCACGGCCTATTAGTGATTCCAGAAATATCTAGCAACTTTTACACACTTATTAACTGATTACAACAAGCTAATTGTAGTACAGAATTAAGACATGAAGTGGTGGCAACAGGGCCATGCATATGTTGTTGCTGAAAATCTTGGCTGCTGAAAAATCTGTATATACCACATATGGTCTGATGGCATGTAATTGTATTCCATATGAAAGTGCATAAAATACTGCTCTAGAAGCCCAAATCATTTGCTTTCAACCAAATGAATTATTGTTGCAATGCTCAGCTCAACTCATCCTTGTCATGGGTTTGGCTATACGAATCTCGTTCTGCAATTTCACTNATTGCTCAACTCAACTCAACTCATCCTTGTCATGGGTTTGGCTATACGAATCTCGTTCTGCAATTTCACTTTGTTTAGTGGCATGTCCGCTATTAGACCAGACGTTAATATGTCTTTACCATCTCAGTCCATAATTTTGGTTGTGACAATGGCATAGGAATTGCAAAGAATTTCAAAAAATGTCTGTCTGACCTTGAAAATTGAAATTTTTAGTAGTTATGGTTTATCAGCCCAAAACGTATTTATATGCCACTTATTCATCTTTATTTTTCAAATTACGTTACTCACTCTCTGAAACCTGGAAAATTTACAGCATCTTCAAGTGTTCTAGAAACTGGACATCTTTTTTCTTCCAAATTTTTATTACAGTAAAACTGATTAACCATAAGGTGAGGAAAGTTGATTGTGATGGTCTGGCCACTGCACCCTAGGCCAACTAAGGTATTAGTACAAATGATTACAATTTGGTCCAAGTTGAAGATGCTACAAAGAGGAGGAAAGTCAAAAGAGCATGGGTTGAGACCGTGAGATGTGACATTATTTCTCAGGGTTTAAGCAAGGATGTGGCTTTACAAAAAGCCAACTAGAGATGAGGGATTCTTGTAATCGACACCAAGTACCTTGGCTTGTTTAGCTGAGCTTAGTTGGGCTAAACTTTTCTTGTGAATTCTATGGAAATCATATCAAATTCAAGAACGGTGATTTTATTCATTAGCTTAAAAAATATGTGTGCTACTTATTACTTCCTTTATGTCATCTCTTTTCCTGACAAAAATTTCTGCAAAATTTAATCTGATTTATTCCTAATGCTACTGTTACACCTCCATTGTTCTGTGACACATTTAGGCCAAGGAATTGCCAAAGGACCATGGAATTTATGATCTTGGGAACAAAAATATCCTAGAAAAGGCAAGACTTTCAAGCCATTGGAAATAAGTTCGTTCAGATCAGGGTTATTTTGCTAAACTAATTAGGTTGTGGCAATTAGAATCTAACAATGGGGATTCAGCATGTCTAAGTTAGGCTTCCCAATTCACGAACCTGATTCCTTGGCAGCTCTAGCCTAGAGAAGATGCCAAACTATCTGTTGCTTATAAAGGTAAACATCATAAGTTGCATATCAACAATTGCAAAATCATAAGGAGGAGCTTGACACTAGTTAAATAGAGATCATAAAAAAGTAGCTTCAACAAGTGATTACACTATTCAGCATAAACCGTAATTTTGAATGACAGAACGATGTAAAAAATCATGAAAAACTAGGCATACCTGCATCCACGCTTGCCAGTTTCCCATTACTAGCAAATTGAAGAGTGNCAGTAATTTTGAATGACAGAAAGATGCAAAAAATCATGAAAAACTAGGCATACCTGCATCCACGCTTGCCAGTTTCCCATTACNCCGTAATTTTGAATGACAGAACGATGTAAAAAATCATGAAAAACTAGGCATACCTGCATCCACGCTTGCCAGTTTCCCATTACTAGCAAATTGAAGAGTGTCACCATCCCATTTGGATAGTCATTAAAATTGAAAAGTAAATAGCTTAATTTTGTCAAGAAAACAGAATCAAGAGACTGAAATCTACAGAAGAAAACACTTCAGTAAANACTAGCAAATTGAAGAGTGTCACCATCCCATTTGGATAGTCATTAAAATTGAAAAGTAAATAGCTTAATTTGTCAAGAAAACTGAATCAAGAGACTGAAATCTACAGAAGAAAACACTTCAGTAAACAAGAAAAATACAGTGACAATTCAAGAGCACATGGAAACATAGTTCATCAATCAGTATTGGTCATTCATCAGTTTCCAACAAAACTTGAGACAATCCTGCAATCGATGTGCCATAATCTATAATTACAGCACAGGCATATGAAAACCAGTATCATCAACGACAAAGGATACTCATTATCTGCAAGATCTGTGCCTTCCAAATAAGGGTTGTCAGCATAGACCATCCCACCAAAGATCTATTTCAAAGGAAGGTTCAGATTGCTTCAATATTAAGTCAAAAGGAAAACAATATCTTTACAGCTTGAAATGACCATGAAACTGAAGTTTTGGTAGGACAAGTCACGAAATAACTAAAATCAATCAACAGAAAACCAGTCATGTAGTCCAGGCTGCAAAGAACTGGCCAGGTGGCAGTAAAAGCATGCAGCGAAATAGAAACTGGAGAATCTTAAAACGTGTGCTTTTTTTTTTTTTTTGGGGGGGGGGGGGGGGGAGGGGGGGGAA